CAGCCTGCTGGCATGCCTTTCCCTGGGAAGCCGCAATATTGGATTCGCTGACCAAGCGTGAGGTACCTGCTGGATTGATGCTGATTTAGTATGACTGATAGCACCGCGTCGTTAAAGTTGTTGCTTCTGGCTCGCTGCTGTAGATCCTCTCTGCTGACATGCCCGTAGTATTTAGACATGTCTCATAATATTCTAATATTGAAGCCGTATGTAACTTGTCATCAGCTAGGCAACCTTGCTCTGCAAGAAGGGATTGCTGAAAAACGAGCTCTAGAATACTGCGGCCTGACTGGTGCGCCAGGAAGCTGCACGGGTTGTCTCGTTCCCATCTTCTGGCCTCAGTTTGTCTCCATTTTGCCCAGACGCGGAAGACCCCTGGGAGAAGACCGGTGCCCTTGTAAGTTGGCCCGCCAGTGGCCTTCAGCTTGAATCAGATTCGTAATGATGGCCAGAATCTGGGAGGGCATCGTGCCTGGCTGCTCGCTCGATGCACGACAGGAAGTCAATAAAAATCTGCAGCTGCTTGTCTGTCAGCAGCTCGAAGTGCCCGGGATGAACTCCGTCCCGAGTGTGACACCTTTGATGATTGAAGGTCCCTGTGGCTTTCCTGAGAATGGCGGGCGTGATAGTTGGCAGCCTGGGCGCCGCTTCAGGATTCCCTGGGGTTCTGGGGAGTGGGGTGTCTTGGATGCTCCAGAGGCCCGACAGTCTGTCAGCTTCGCCCTCCAGGAGCTTCTTGGGCCTGCCAGACCAACGGCCGTCTTTGGCCTTCACCTCCTGGGGCTGCCAGGTGGTGTTGTCCTTGGACCATCGATGGGCCCACCCCACTCCTTTGGCCATCTGTTCCGCGACCCACTGTTTCCATGAGGCTGAGGCTTGGAGTCTTTCCCGAGAGCGCTCCTGATCGTGGAAGGTGGCCACCCCCCCCTTGCAATTCTGAGAAGATCTGGGAGGCGCGCTGGCGGGAGGCCTCGATGCCGTCGCGCCTAACGTCCAGCAAGAGGGCGTCGAGCAAGCGGCAACACTTTGTGAGCAGGGCCTCCAGCTCCTGTGTTGTCTGAAACTCCTGCGGCGCATCCTGCAAGGCTGACTGTACATCGCGCAA